GGGCCGCCTTCGCCGCCTCGGCGTCGCTCGCCGTGCCCTTGCCCCCGACGGAGCCGTCCTTCTGCACCTCCACCGGGGGGTCCCCCTGGGAGCCCCCCGGGCGCCGGATGCCCCCGCCCAGACCCGCGAGCGACGCGCGCCGCTGGGACATGTCACGCGACGCGTCGACTCCCCCGGCCGATGCCGGGCAGCACCGCCAGTGGCTTCTGCCAAGTTCTGGCTGCTTCGGGGCCCGAGAGATGGTCGCAAAATAAAGGCAACAAGTTCAGGCGCGCTCGCAGGATACTCGGAACGCGTGCTATTCTGGATCCACGCGCTCGCCGTTTTGAAAGGGCCGGCGCCACCGGGATCCCATTTTGAATGTACCACCGGCGATTTTTTTAAACCCGAGGAGATCGCCCGTCATGAGCCGGTAAACGACCGAGCGAGCAAAGCTCGCCGCACGCAGGTCGGTGCTTCTTTAGGATGGGCGTGATGGGGGGCGTCGGGGGCGGCGAGCTTTTTGGCGCCGGCGGAGCTCCAGGATCAGTCGTCGCTGGGCGAAGCGCCGCCGGCGTGCGGCGGGGCTCACGTCGCCGGCGGCGTCGCCTCCGCGACGGCCGGCGCCGCCTCGCCGCCCTCGGCGGCCGCGGGCGCCGCCGCGGCGTCGGGGGCCTTCGAGGCCATCGACGCCGTGGAGTCCGCGGAGGCGCGCGATTTGCGCAGCTTCTCCGCCTTCCACGCGAGGTTTTTCATGTTGAAGCAGTAGTTCTTGAACTCTGCGGCGGGGCGCGCGCGCGTCGGGGACGCCGCGCGCGGGGCGACGCGCGCGAACGTCGGGCGCGGCGCGCGGAGGCGCGGGGGACGCGCCGTCCATGTCGACCTCGCCGTCGCCGTCCTTGTCGAAGAGCTTGACGAGCTGGTCGATCTGCGCGTCGTTGAGTTTGAAGCGGATGGGGTCGAGGTTGTAGAGACCCGTCTTGAACTCCTCCTTGGTGATCTTGCCGTCGCCGTTGGCGTCAAAGTACTCGAAGATGCGCTCCGAACTGAGCCCCTTCTCCTTGGACCTGCGAACGAAGGCGGCT